AAAAGACTAGCGTGATGAAAACCTACAGGGATTGACAGTTTGACTTTATTCAGGGAACCCAAAGACAGAGCAGTTGTCCTGCAAATCGGAGATGTTGCTGTAGATATAGACCAAAGAAAAACAAATCTACCCTCCTAACTGAGTAGTAAAACAATATCAACAGATCAGAGTACCCTGCCCATCCTGTTTGTTTTTATAAGGCTTTCCTGACCAACGGGATAGCACAGTTGTTTTTTGTCATGCTTAAATGCATACATAGGAATGTATTGGTATATAAATATCCCCCCCCAAAGGCTCTGATCTAAAACATAATCTTACGCATTTTGCACATTTTCTTCTTCAACAAACTATAGTATGTTTGAGAGTTACATTTTTTTTTCTCCTAGCACTATGATATTCAATGCGTATTACAGTCTGACTTCAGCTGGCTTTCCACAAGTTTCGGGGGATTGTGTTCATTGCCTGCCAGGGATCGTGGTGTCAAAGAAAAATGTCCTGCTTAATTCTAAACATTGACATTGGCTGAAATTAGCACAGCACTTACACTGTTTGAATGTTTTGTGGGCTGGTTGTAGATATCTTCGCAATAACTTTATGGCTAATACAATGCTTAATACTTGGTAATCTAACTCTAACATCTTGAAGTTCAAAAATTATATTATATTTATTGTTATATTATATAATATATATTATATATATATAGTCACAATTGCTAGGCTGGCTCCATAGAACAACCAACAGGCTGGCTCTTGCTGACCCAAGTGAAAATGCATTTCTTTTTCAAAGGAGATGTTTTTCATCAATTGAAATTCCTTTACTGAACAGGTGAGCAACTCCTACATCAGTATGATCTCACGTAAACTTTCAAAGAGGAAAGTGTGCATTAATTGAAAAAAAAAAATGACTCTGTTCCAAAATGCAGGGAGTGAATACTTGGTTTCTACTGCAAAAGCTCGCTTTTTCTTCCACCTATTCAGCCTAGTTTCTGTTGAAGAGATCGTGTCTGGTGGTGCTTATTGACGCTAGACCTGTTTTAGAATGTTTTCACTAAGTGGACTCAAAAGCTGTGTTTGGTTTGCTATACTTTTCATCACACACTGTTGACACCAAAATCCACAAATGACTTTTGGCTTTACTTGAACTAGGTCATTGTTCTGTCAAAAAAAATAATAGCATGATTTCAAATGCTTTACATTTTTTCCGCTGGCTTCTACCAACTGTTGTATACCCATGGGCAATCAGTGAGACCCCGTTCACAGCCTAAAGGGCCTTGAGAATATTTTTCTGGTCTGTGTGGGCTATTTCCCTCTGTCACACCTTTACAATTTTCAACTCATGTCAGGTGCCTTTTATTTTTTGAAGGGACCCTGGACTGCAACGTCAATAACAACCTCTAGTAAGGCTGTTCAAGATCTTTAACCATTTTACTGTGGTATCTTGGTTTTGTGGTATATTTGGTGAGATTGTGTTTCCCTTCTTTACTATATAAGTAGAGAACATACTGGAGTGTATTTTGTGGAATAGAAAACCTATACCTTTGAGCCCTGGAGTTTGGGAGGCTTTCATATTTGACAGTCATTTTGGCTCAAGTTTCCTTCTGAAAACACCAGAGCCAGGATAGTTGTTAATTGCCAAACAAACGATCAACAGGTGAAACATGTTAAACAGGGGACTAGTGCAACAATTAAGAGGGGATTGAAGTGAAAGAGCAAAGAAGGGGGTATCAAAGTTAAAAAAAAGTGTCCACATACAGTATCTTGAATATT